GCTGTTTTAGAGGAAAACAAACGATTCCTTGAAAAAGAGGCTAATCTCTTTTAAGGCGTGAATGGAAATTACAAGTCCATTGAGTCTTTTTATTTTCCCGCTGATGCGCTGACGATGAAATGTAAGGGGAGAAAGTGGCGGGGTAGAAGGGAAGAGTCTCCCGGGAAAAAATGGAAAACCAAAGTGTCGCCGTGTGAATTCCACACGGTGGATGAATGGCGGCCGGTCGAAATCAGACAGGTTGTGGCTGTCCGTTGCTCGTGTTGAGGTTAAGTTCGGGCTTTAAAGAAAGGTTTGGGTTTCAAGATAAGGTTTCAAGCCAGGGTTATCATTTCCAACAAGGGGTATAGAGTTTAAAAGTGGGTTTTCGAGACAGGCAAACGTTAAAAATGAGGGTTTGAGGACATGTTAAGGGTTAATGTTAAGTGAGGGTCAGTGTTTTATAGTAGGGGTTTGAAGCATTGAGTTTTCAAATTGGTGTTTAGGCAAGGATTTCTAGTTCGAGCATCAGGCCAGGGTTTGCAATTAGGTACTGAAGCCTGAGTTAAATTCTAAAAATTAGGCTGAGAAGCCAAGATTAGAGCTTCAAAGCAACATTCAAACCAGGGTTAGGCTTTAAGACCAATGTTACTTTTTTTTTTTTTTTTTTTAATTAACATCCCGTACAAGGGTCGCGGACGTGCTGGAGTCTAACCCAGCTGTCTTCGGATAGTAGGTGGGGGACACCCTGAACCGGTTGCCAGCCAATCGCAGAGCACACATCGACGAACAACCATTCCAGCTCACACTCACATCGAAGGACATTTTTGAGTATTCCTTCAGCCTGCCATGCATGTTTTTGGAATGTGGGAGAAAATCGGAGTGCCCGGAGAAAAGCCACGCAGGCACGGGGAGAACATGCAAATGCCACACAGGAAGGCCGGAGCTGGAATTGAACCCTTCACTTATGCACTGTGAGGCCAAAGTGTTAACCACTGGCTCGCCATGCCGCCCTTTAATTAACATAATGTCCTTAAATTATTTAATTATTTGTAATTAATAAAATAAAAAAATAGTAAAAAAAAATGACAGTCTATAATTACAATTTAATTCTAAAAACAACAGACTAAACCTAAAAAAAAGACAGAATCATTTTATCATTTATTTTTGAAACTTTTTTTTTCTCAAACTGATCCACAAATGCTGTGGCAGAACTGTCATTTTAAAAGTCAAACACTGTCGAACCCCTCAAAGTTTGACCGGCTCTGCCTCAAAAGAATTCACTCAAATCGCCACAAGAATCTTGCCAATGGCTTCGCACTTTGACTCCTTTGAAGAAAAAACAAGCGAGATGCTGCGGTGAGATAGTGGCAGTGAGGCTGCGGTCACGCAAGCACACACACTCACGCACACACACTAAGTCTGCACGTCTTATTGTAAGATGAGCTGATCATGTCGTCTTTATGTGGTTTTATTTCCTTTGGGCTTTTCCTCATTCTCCACATGGCTCTTCTGTCGGCCTCGTCAAAAACACACACACACACACACACACACACACACACACACACACACACACACGTCACGTACACGCACACGCACACGCACACGTTATTTTCTGCTCATATCCACTCACATTCACACACAGTCGGGGGCTCCAGGCTGCATCGATAAACCATTAAAAAGAAAAGCTGGACCGCCTCGGAGGGTCCCGATGTGTGCAAAAGGCCAGAAAGCACAAAGAGGCGCATTCACCTTTTGTTGTTTATTTTGCTGAGCCTGCGGGGGGCGCCGTCTGCAGTTTCTGAATGTCAGTCACACAGGAAGTTACGTTCCTCTCGCAGTCATCCTTACGTGCTGCTAATTTTCCATGCATGCTCATTTTGCCTCGAGCTAAGAATATCTTTTGTATAATTCGCTAGTTCAAATTATGAACTGCAAATCAAAAAAAGGGTAGCATAGTGTATTTTTTATTTGTTCCATTGCGATAACTTATTCTTAAAGGCACAGATCTCGCGCCCTCTTAAATCAGTTCAGCTGCTGAAGATTTGTAGGTTTCCTCGGTCTTAAGGCCTTTTCTGACTGCACTTAGCAACGCGCAGCTAGCCATGGACAAGCCCGTTCTATGTGAGATGAAAGCTCAAGGAGGGAATCACGTCAATCGTGTCATGCTGCACAGCGCGAGGATGGCGTGCACCGCGCCACGCCCTTGAATTGAAAAAATGTTCACTTTGAGAGCTGTACTGCGGCGACATCACCCGGCGCGTCCAATACAAGAGTTGGAGGCGGAGTGACTTCAGAGCGCTCGCAGCAATCGACCAATCGGGGGAAGAAGCCTCCCTCTTACTTCTTACTAAGAAACAACAAAAAAAAAAAGGAATTTGCACTTCATTCATTTCAAATCACATTGGTCAACAGCACCTTCTAATCAGAGATAGCTTTTCATATCCATGAATACATTTTTGACACATATTAAGAAAAAAAAACCTCTTAATTTTTGTTTTTCACGCATGCACAATACGTATTTTACCCTCTGTGGTAATTTATAGCTATGATGTTTAACAAAAAAAAAAATGCACCTTTTGCTGAACCTAATCCTTAATTTATAACTGCATAAATATAACATTATTATTATTAGTAGTAGTCGTAGTATTAGCAGTAGTCATAGTATGAAAACGAGGGCAGATTCCGAAACAGCGTAAACGATTCACCCAGACAAGTTTACTTGCGTCGCTGATTAAAAAAAAATAAGGATGTAAAAATTGGTTAACTAGTGTAATCTTTATTCTTACATATAAAAAAATGGTGTATGCCATATATAGAATATAACATATACTAGATTAATTATTCATCCTCATCATATCCTGAACTCTTCCCAAAGTGTTTCTGCAGCCTTTTTTTTTTTTTTTTGCCTCCGTAATCACGCAAAAATACAACACTGGCAAAGTGTTGCCAACCCACATAATGTGTGCGCATTACTCTCATCAGCTCAACTCTGCAGCATGTGAATGCAGATTCCTCCCAGCCCTGGCAAACTGCTGCCAACTGCCTTAATTGAAATATGATGGTATCGACTCGCGGGGGTCAATAGCTGGATTACTGCACCTCATGTAAAACCAAACGACTTTGCAAAGCAATAAAGGCACAAAGTCGTTTACGTTTATACTCGGCCGTACTTTTCTGAGAAAGCTTGCAAAAGCGATAAAGCAAACGGGACCTTGCCAACTTTACAGCGGCCGTATAAAAAAAATTAAAAAAATAAAGCACGTTGCTCTCGCCCACCCGAGTCGTCACGTCTAAGACGTGACGCGCGTGTGGTCGTGTCGTTTTAAGGCTGGTCTGATGACATCATAAACATCAACACATGTGGCACATGCAACCAAGGCAGAAGTCATAAAATCGTGGTGAGGATCTAGATAAATGTGGAACTCTCATCATCGGAGACGGACAAATGCAAAGATGTAATTCTGCTCGTACCCAACACCCAAATCTTAGAATTGATTGAGTTGCGTTCAGCACCGCCGGACATCCGCTTAGCTTTGAAATCTGTATCGTGCTTTCGTGCAACACACAACACAAATGTGCAACTGCAAGCAAATAAAAGCTGACTTTTCCTTAATGCGTGCCGTGTCAGAAAAGTTCCAGGCGTGCTACTATTCAATTTGGGGCCAAACGATTGATCCACAAAGGAATTCCGGAGCCATTTGCTTCATTCAATGTGCGAGAAGAGGCGAGAATTCTTATATTAGCCATGAAACCTTTCCGACTCTCCTTGCGTGTTGTTGTTTTTTTTTTTTTTAAACAGCGTGAAGTGCTACTCAACAACACAGGAGGTGAGAGACAAGACTGGTGCGAGACGTCGGCCAGGTGGCAATCGTTTCCTCGCCGCACCTCCTGACCAAATGGGAATTATTGGAGCCATCGCATCCCATTTTACTTCACTTTCAGCCGCTCTCCTGCCTGCTACTTGGCAGACATGCTACCCCCACCTCACGGCTCCCAGCAAAGCCCCGCAAATAAGTCATGCCTATTCGTCGGAATGGGCGGATGGCGGGTGGGCTCGACCTCGGCTGGCTGTCACAGTCCATTCTGCTTCTCCTCAGTCACATTGGAAAGAGAAGTGAGCGAAAAGAGGGCAGGAGAAAATTGGTGTTTGGCCGTGTAAATCCGCTGATAATGACAAGCGCCTTGGCACCGCTTACAGGAAGACATGATGCCGCATCCACAGCATATTTACATGATTTAAGAACGTCCGAAGGAAAATGCTCAGGGTTGTAATCAATGTCGCTGTCAGGAAGCTATCATCGCAATGTCTCGTCGCTGTCCTGCGAAAAACACTGACGGCCATTTTTTTTCATTAAAAAAAAAAAAAAACATGAATGGGGTGTCTGCGTTTTGAATGTCTAACACATTTTTATAAATGACAAAAATGGACATTTGTGTTTTTCACAGGAGAGCGATGATATATTAACAATCATGAGTACATAAAAGTAACGAAAAATTTAATAGTACCACTAAACTACATGACAACATTGAATACATTACAAAAAAAATCATTGAAAACATTGAATATAAAGCAAAATAAACACAGGAAACACAAATAGAATTATAAAAGAAATACAATTAATAATGTTATATAAAACTAAATAGAATGAATTCTAATCACGTTAAAATGTATACAAATTTTCAAAAATGATCCAAAACATGATTCATAAGCGCCAAACTAAAACAAAATTCAATTAATGTAATTGATTAAAATACATTCTAATCACAAAAACAGATGACTTTAAATCGCTAACCTAAAATAATACAAACAGAATTGTTTGAATAGCACAAATGAATACAAAAAGCAAATAAAATATGGAATGAACCAAAATAAAATCATAAATATAATGCATTCAAACCATTAAAAATGATCTGACGAGAAATGCACACAATAAATGAAATAAAATACACACAATTACATGAAAATAATAAGAAAATAAGAAATAAATATGAAAAAATAAATAAGAAAAAATATCAGTGCAAAACCAAAAAGACATGATGAGCATGAAAGTTTTTGCCAAAGCATTTTCAGTATACACATTGCTCCACTTGTTTTCAAAGCATATTTGTTGAGGAATTTTTTCGACAACTTGAGTATTCAATATGAATATCATCAGCGGCTGTCTTCAACTTTTGTCTTTTTGCGATTTATATATTTATTTTGGGGGTTTCGTTTAAGGATGCAGAACGCATTCATGCTTGTTGAGCTCCGGCGTGTGTGACGAGCCCGCTTGCTAAATTATTCCTCGGGATTTTTCAAAAGCGATCCGACTGCGCTGGTTGACTTTTTCACATCGCCTTGTCAGAAGCGGTTTTGGCTGTCATGCTGGGCCGCTCACGCCTTTTAACAAGACGTTTTAACACATTCCTATTTTTATTTTATTTTTTTTTTCAGCACCATTCCTCCGATGCTGGGCCTTAGCATGCAAACATTCCTCTTTGTTTTTCTATTCAAGGGAACAGGAGGGGGTTCTCTTCTTTCAACAAATTATGCAGAAACTTGGTTGGAATTGGTAAAACCAAATGTAAAGTGAGAAGAACTTTCTGGGGGGGGAAAAAAAATGAAAAAAATCCACATTTGCTGCACACAGCCCAAAACACCTTGTGTAAGAAGATGAACTGTGGTCTGGACAAGGCATTCATCAAATTTGAGACAAGAGCAACAGTTCGCTAATGAATGATGAACTAAAATTTGCTGCTTCCGGCAAAGAGTGTCTTTCATTTGTGCCGTGTACAGTAAAATTTGAAGAATATAAAAGAAGAATTAAATGTGGAACCCAGAGTCAGGAATCTTGTTTTCATGATCCGGGGGGTTGCTTTGCTACACCCAGCACAGGATGTCATGAAAACTCCCAAATGGCCGGTCCATTCCAAGCCGCAATAGCTGCAAATCAGAAGCAAAATGTGCTTCCCAGTGTCAGCAAGCTTGATCTCAGACTGATGAATGGACTCTTTGGGGGTATGACAGCATGCTAACTTCGGGTCACTAGGCTAACACAAAGCAATAACAACGACAGCATCAAACTCTTCAAAATAGAGTCGCTGTCAGCTGGACTGACTTCACGTTACCATAAGTGACATATTACCTTTGTGATTGCTCCAGATATCCAAGTGTCTGCAAAGCAATCAAAGCATCAAGATCTAATTTGATGAGCCCTTTCCAGTTTTACCGCGCACGCAGGTAAATAGACTTTTTCAGATGCTCAACTCACATTTGTTTATTGCGCACAAAATGAACCGCAACTTTAACTAAGAAAGAGTGAATAAAATAGAATGTGGTTAGGGTCCATTACTCTCAACACGCTACTAAACGTACAAGGCGCAATGAAATCTGACTCTCAAGGCAAAATGTGTCGTCTCGTGAAAGGAGATTAAAAAAAAAATGCAGGTGGGCCAAAATATGCCCCCAGGCCATTTTTTATCCTGCGGTCAGTGAATGTGTGGAGGGTAAAATAACATTTCAAGACTATCAAGGCATTCTAGAACAAAATAGGCTGCCACATTTCATAAAAAGAAGTAAGAAAAACAAGCTGGGGTGTGCAAAACGTACAAACTATAAAGTGGGCATCGTCTTCAAAGACAAAGCAGGCCATGAGTGATGTTTTTACTGGACAGAAAAAAAAAATCTGTTTTATTATCTCGAAGGCTTGAGCATAAACTGTGTGTAAAAACGTGTCACAAATCAAGTAGAGCGTTTTACGACCAATTGGCAGCCAATAGACGGAATAACAAGTGAAAGTGCTTAAAAAGAAACTCATCGATTGCCCACCCCCCCCAAATGAGTTGTTTAAATCAACGTGAAATATCAAAGCTCTGTGGAGCATTGAAATATAAAGTTGCTTGAAATCCAAATGACACATTAAAGCTCTGTGGACCATGTAAATAAAATGGAGTGGATTAAGTGTTTTGCCTACATGTCTTTTTCTCCCTTATTTTTATTTTTATTTTTTTTCAACGTCCGGTTTGGAGTTGAACTTGGCCGCTGTACCTGACAGAGGGTGAAAAGCTTGCCAGGACATTGAAGTCAGTGTGAGCTAAATATAAACAATGGCCCAGAATGACGTGAGTCGAAAAAGGTGAAGCTGGCGCACGCCGAGGTCACGCCGCGGCTGGCCTCCGCGCACAAGGCGGCCGGCCTAATGAAAAGGAGGAACGCTGGCGTGCCGGCCGTAGCCAAGTTGGAGGCTCTGAGCTCTGTGGATGCTTTTGTTTGGTGCCAGTTAAACTTGCAAATATAAATGAGAAAAACTTGGGAAACTCTGCGTTCGCTATTCGTGCTCACTAGTTAAACTTGCAAATATAAATGAGAAAAACTTGGGGAAGGGACAGGTGTGGAAAAATTCAGGGCCCGAAGCCCAAAATCTGCGTTCGCTATTCGTGCTCACCGAATTCATTCAAATTGATTACTTATGGCATTTTTCATAGTACAACAAATAAAACCCCCAATTAGAATCAAAACGGTAAAAGGAGTGGACTTATGTCACGCTTTGTCTGCACCCTACGCTGTTTACCAAGCCTCATTCATTCACTTAACCTACGGAAAGGTTTTCCTTTTTAGTTTAAAATAGCTTACTTCAACTTCCAGGATCTCTCGTCGTACCATCTCCAGTGATAGAATCCAGGGTGTTTTTCTCTCTTTGGTCCAGTAAATCCATCTGTATTGAGTCGTAGCAGGTAGCTAACGCTAAGCTAACGCCTCATCTGCCATTCGACTCCCAAGTGGCCGAACGCCCTTTATGTGCTGCTGTAAAGTAACAAAGACAAGTCAGAGCAAGATTGTGAAGAATCCTTGCCAAGGATCGTCAAGGAAATCAGCCGTTTTTTGTTTAAAAGGGCACATTTCCATGCTGTTCTTCAAAGATGGACTTGACCTCAAGATTTTGTTTGATTACTACCACATTGGAACCCGCTTTCCCTATCATAAAATGATAGGAACCACGTCTAGTACGCATCGGCGGATTTTGACATTTGTGACATGTGTCGCTACAATAAAATTGCTCCCTGACATGCATTTCTGTGTATCGGCATGACCTGTTGAAGATTGCTGTTTGGATGGGCAATTTACGGCCCGAAGAGAGACGGCGCGAGGAGGGAAGCTAATTTTCGAAACATTTGTCGCAAACCAACGTTTTGGTCCTTGCATGACGGCGACATGTTGCGAATAAGACTTGAAACTGCAACAACAGAACTCGACAAAGTTGGTCCTTGTTCCGATGTCTTTTCCCTATTTTGTAGAGACAGCAGACAATGTGTGCATGAAGGAACACACACACACAAAAAACACGCACAAAGAGCATCTATAGAATAGCGCAGCCTTGCCCCTCGAGTTGCGTTTGTGTGTGGATAATGGATCCGCTGAACACAGAACATGAAGGAGCGCCCGTTCCGTCATTTCACTGGCCGATAATGTGAGATAATGTGATCACGCCGGACCGCAAACAAACACAGCACGGCCGCGCACCTGACCTCAACCTCTCCGAGTGCAGACAGATAAAAGGATGTTGTTCTCAATGCTATCGTGTCCCCCCGCCGGCATGAATAATGAAGGACGTGCACCTTGTTTATCTTTCAATTCAATATTTACTCCTTGTCAGACGCATTTGTGGGCTTTTCATCAGCGCCATTTTTTTTTCTACCCTCCACGGCATTTGTCCTCATTGTTAATGTTTGATGAACGCCGCAATAAAGTGCAGCGTCGCCTCTACCTGCGCCCCATTTGTGTTTTTGTTGTTTCTCTCTCTGTAGACCGACGCCAGCGTTCCGCTAAACCCCCCAGCCAACACCCCGGCTTCCTCTCGTGAGACCCCACCCCGCCTTTCCCATCACTTCCTTTTGTTACCCTCAAGGTAAATTTGGGATGAATTGAATTAGGCAAGGAAAAGTAGGTCATCACTCCATTGTGTTGCTCGAGTCAAGGTTAAATCTGACGATGGTGAATTCCCAGCAGTCGGGCTGTGGTTTTTTTTTTATTTTTTATTTTTTCCAAAACTAGATTCAAGCAAAGTTAAAGCTTTCAAAGTCGGGTGTCGAGACAGGTTTGGAGCTTCAAGACGGGGTTGTGGTTCAAAACAGGGTTTCATCGGATGCTTTCAAGCCCTATAATTGGCTTGAAACCAAGCCGCCCCCCCCCCCAAAAAAAACGGCATGCGACTGACTGCTGCCAATTCACCAGTGTCAGATTGAACTTTTTTTCCAAATCCCTTGGAGAGTGTGGGCCTTTTTCCCGACTTTCCCGCACACTTTAAAAGTGCTGCCCTCTCTCAACTCTCAAACAAAAACAACAACAACAACAAAAAACATCTCGTCTGCTTTACATCATTCCTCGAGCATGCTGATCAAAACTCTGGACACTCCCCGGACCATTCATTTAGTTGTTGCACGAGCGTTGCAACACTACAAAAGCGCATACTACAAAAAGTTGATAGTTTACTTTTTTGTGTGTTTTTACCTTGAGGGTGTACAACGTCCGATGGCCGCCGTCTAATTACCGACTTTGATTATTCCCAATTTGTGTTTTTTTTAGCGAGCACCGACCAACAGCCGGGTGTTTTGGTGGGGAGGGGGCAACGCCATTGACTGTCTCACTTTCGAGTCTCTAATTGAGCCAAATGGGAACGGCGGCTGCCAGAGTTCACACTCCTCCAGTGTTTACACGCTCGCCCGCCAGAGACTCATTCGGACCAAACTCATGCGGACACACACACACAACAAATGTATGCGCACAAACACACACACACGCATACATATATGTATCTATATATGTACACACACCCATCTTCTAATGAAGCCTGGACATTGGTGAGCACATTACAGATGGGCCCCGCAGATGCTACAGGGAATGAATGCTGTTGTGTAATGACGCACATCAGAGCTGTTATTATGTGTGTGTGTGTGTGTGTGTGTGTGTGTGTGTGTGTGTGTGTGTGTGTGTGTGTGTGTGTGTGTGTGTTTTGAGGAACCGTAATTGCCGACGTGTGCCGTCGGCGGGCCCTCGTCATTAAAATTCACATGTGAACTCACCCCCGGCAGCGTTGATAATTGTGGTCAAGCGGATCAGACATGAGGCGAAAGAAGTGGGGGGGGGGGCATCCTCGGTCCGGTTGCTTGGTCTTAAAAGGCTAAAGCAGTAACGATGTCAAAGCGTTAATTACAGTGAAACACTGAAAGATGTTAAAAGAAGGTGAGAAGGTCCGAAAGAAGAGAGAAGATGTCAGTGAGGGACAAGTCAGGGTAAGGGATTGATGTTGGGCTTTGAATGCAGGAGTAGGGATTCAAAGATGGGGTAGGGTTTCAAGACAAGGGAAGGCTTTCAATTTTAGCTCAGGGTTAGGGTTTCAAGTTCGGGTTTGAGGCCATCATTTGGGGTTTTTACCAAAGATTAGCATGGCAAGACTGTGTTCATGTGTCAAAAGTAGGATTTAAAGACGGGATTAGCGTTTGAAGCCAGGATTAGCGTTTCAAACTGTGAGGTTCTGTCTGATTTTTGTTCCTCTTGCTAGTTTGTTTGTAACCAGTTGCCGTCTGCATTCTGACTTCGCTCCAGTATTATTTTGTACAGTTCAGGTTTTGATATTGCTTGAGCCTGGTGGCAAACCGCCAAGCCGCAGATGACACGACAAACGTCGGACTTGACCGGGAAGAATAAACAAACACATTTCCGTGTCCCCTTTTCCATTTGTTACGAACAAAAGTCCTTTTCAATCGAAACCCCGACGACATCAGTGATATGCGGTTTGGTTATTTTTTTTATTTTATTTTTCCCAAAAAGTGGGACTCTTTAAACTTAGACCATCATTTACTGTAACCGCACGCAATTGACCCCCATCCACTCAAGAGGGCTTCGGACCGTATTGATTACGGCCCCGCATTAAACATTGAAGTCATCACAGCGCCTGGTTAAATGATTGTATAATGAATAATAGATGAGATTGAAAGGCCAGGAAGGGTAATAAATGGGTCTGGGTGATATTCATTCGTGGGGCCGCGTTTGACTTTTTCAAAGTGCTCTCTGGTGTCATAAATCAGATGGGAGCCCGGTTTCAAAGTTTATGACGGACATCCGTGTCAGAGAGTGCTCGGAAGCGGACGCTTTTGTGACACAGGTGGGTAGAACGCGGGTGGAGGATGGATTGGCTGACCCACAAAACGATCTCGTTACAAAGTGCACTTCATTTTTCCCTTTCGGTCAACTCATGCATTATAATTGTGCGAGTGAATGTGTCGTACATCATATTTGTTTGACTGGATTTGAGTGTACGGCGAACCTCCACATCGTTGTATTTTTTTTTTTCCCTGAGAAAGTTGACCGTGGTCATTCGCCGAACCTCACTTGTTGAATTTTTTTTGTTTTCTAATCCAGTGCTGGAAAAAAACGCACAAAGGCACCGAAGCCAAAAGAAAAAAAGGCAAGTCGGAAATGTATGAATTATTGAAATGATTTGTGTCAACTGAGAAATTTTGTAAAAGCCATGTGGGGGACAAATATAATCTGCATTTAAAAAAAAATGATGGCCAGTAGTGCAACCTGGAATTCAACTTCCATTTATGTATGTTCATCATTAATTTGGGGACAAGATTTTGGGACTTGGTCTTTGGTTTTTAAAAAGTGTTTAGTAACAGCAACATTCAAATTCTTTATTGCCAAAAACAATTACCTCAGTTGTGTTTTGGTTTGGTGAAAGAACCTGTTTGTCAATTTAGATTCAAACAGTTGCACAACACTTTGAATTGAAAGACGAGTTGGGGTTTGCGAGGAGACTTTCAAGACAGGCTCGTGGTTCCAAACAAGAGTTTGGGTTTCAAATTCAAATTCTGGGTCAGTATTAGATTCCATTATTTCGGTTTGGGTTTATTAATTCTTTCAGGTCAGAGAGGTGGGCAGATTTAATGGATAAAAAAAAAAAAAAAAAAAAAAAAAAACAAAGAAAGCACAAAAGAAACCAAAAGTGACTCAATAAAAGAAGAAGAGTTGGAAGAACACTTTGAAAATCGGCCATTTGTCAGCCGTCAATTGTCTCCCGCTCTCGCTCTCATTTAGCCAGATGATTGCCTCCCACGGCCCCGGGGAGCCATCGCGAGCACACTCTATTACTTCCTGCAGCACTTTACTCTCCCGCCAATATCAAACGCTCAATAACAACAGGACGGAGCGGCGTGTAAACTCCTCAAGTCTATTAGCTCGACGCCGATTCATCCCAACAGTCGGCGTCGATACCCGGGGAACCCCAGAGGAACATTATCCATATTGAAACAACTCAGGAGGCTCGTGCCAGGCTGCTGCATCGGAGGCGGTGTAATGAAAAATGTCGGCGGCGCATAAAAGGCGAGCTAATAAAGACGGAGAAGTAACGAGCAAACAAACTAACTTTGGGGCGGGGGGGGGGGGGGGGGCGGGTTAAAGGGCCGCACGGGGGAAAGAGAAGACGAGGCGCGGGAGGTGATGGCGGAGTGTGCGGTGCCCAAAATAAGGTTTCAAGACAAGAGTTGGGGTTTCAAAGACAATTTTGAAACAAGGGTTTGGTGATTGAAAGTAAATTTCGAACTCGGGTTTCGGATTTTGAATTTCAAACCATGGATAGTTTTTCATGGCGTCAGGTTTTCAAAACAGGATTACAGGTTCAAAAGTATCAGCAATGAATGAGTCAGTCTTCGGGTTTCAAATGGGACCTTCAAGCCCCCTGGAATTCAAGTTAAGGTTTCAAACAGGGGGCATGTGCTTGAAAGTAAGGCGTCGAGACGGAGTTG